TGGAGATATTCAGCCCAAAAGTTGGTCCCCAGCATTGATTAACTCAGGCCAGGGCTTCTAGCCCTTGATCAGTGACGGTTAGAGATTTCCCGGTTGTTACGTTGTCTTCTATTGAATTCTTCCCTTGGTTGATCTGGAGTTTCCCAGGTGTTAATTGCTGTCTGCTATCATGTTACACATTCAATCACTGATTCACTCACTCTTTCAGGGGCCAGCCTGATACAGGGAAGGACAGTTTGATTCCTGCCCTTGTTAACATTGTTACAATGTATAACTTACTTGTGAAACTAAATACATTCAGTTGAAAGATGAAAGGTGAGGAGTATAAAATATAAGCTACAAATGCCATGGCACACAAATAGATAAAAATACCAAACTACAAGGGGAGATACAAAATGCACACATACAATTTTTAAAACACAATTCCTTATCTTAAAGTGAAAGAGAGAGGAAGGAAGAAAAGGTAGAAAAAGAGAAACATATCCAAAGGGGGGAGAGCAAATGCAGGCAAGAGGAAAAGGGGGCTTTCTGCTACACTTATGTGATGCTTGAATGCGCAGTAAAATAGTCTACTGCACATTAAAACACGTGTAGATGCACCCAATAATCTCTAACATTTTGTTTGCCTTTTTGATGGCTGCTGACCGCTAGGTTGATGTTTTTAACGAACTGTCCACAATGACTCCCAGATCTTTCCTGTGTGGTAACAGCTAATGTAGAGCCAGAAATGTTTTGTGATTTGCTTAAACTCTGTGTTTATAGCTATTATTTTTGTTTTTAAAGGTGTATAAGCCATCGGGCTTGGCCCCTGTACTAAAAGCTTCTCAGCAAAGAACTAGGAAAGAAGACAGTATACGCACAAGGGTACTGAATATAGTCTTGTACAAAGCTATCACAGACATGATGAGCACCTGTGAAGTCAGTCAGGAACTCTATGATCTCAAGCTGGAAATCTCCAAGGCAAGTACTCAAGCTACAATTTATGTAAAGCCACTATGATAATCAGTGTGACAACAGTACAGTAGTCAAAAAGAACTTGCTTATACTTGGGTCCTGCACTGTGGTCCATGGCTCTGTCTCTGATTGCTGTCAGAAAGCAAAGGTGAACCAACATCTGTTTTATGGGCAGCTCCTCTGTGGCAGCAGAGGTCTTTCAGTGCTTAAAGAGCTGGTGTTCCTCTGCTGATGGAATGAAGAGATTTTGCCACCCTAGGGGAACTGTGAGCATGCATGCCCTCACAGTTTTGCCAGATGATCTCAGATTCTGCTAAGAAAATTATGCACCATAGAGCAGGACTTATGCTGGCTGGATGTTCCCACACAAAAAGAACTGCACTTTGAATGGTACAGTTTGGTGGTTTTCAACCTGTGGTCTTCTGACCCTTGGGAGTCCACAGACTATGTTTAAGGGGTCCATGAAAGATTACTATGATTAGGGACCCGCCGAAATCATGATTTTGTGATTTCAGGCAGGCCCCGCAAAAATGCATGCGGCCTGCTTTTTTGACAGTCTCCCTGAAAAGAAGAAAAAAAACCTCACCAAAAATAATATGCTTGCCAGTCCTTGTGGCTGCTGCAGCCTGGCTACACAGTCCACTGGGGAGGGGAATGGGAGAGGGCAAGGAGCTGGTATGGCAAGATTGCTACCGCCCCCTCCCTTCACTGCTGATTGGTTACGAGGGCTGCCTGTTGGACTGACAGCCCTTGCAGCCAGTCAGTGTCGAGGGATGGGGCTGTATGACAGACAGCTCTTGCAGCTGATCAGCAGTGGCGGGGGCTACCAGGGCCTCATGGCCAGTCAGGGGTGTGGGGGGCCCACTGCACTATGCTCACGAAAATGACTGCCAGGCCCGCAGTCTGCCTGTGAAATTGGCCAGCATCTGTCTCGACTTTGGTACACCCCAAACTATGATCAATCAAAAGTGTGTGAATACCCTCGGTTAAAATTCAGAGGGGTCTGAATCTCCATTTGAAATTTTTTTAGGGGTCCGCAAATAAAAAAAAGATTAAAAATCACTAGTATAGTTTAATTCAGGTCATAACATACATGGGCATTGCTCCCTATCCCTACTCTAAGAAACAAAGCCTACTGGTAGCAGCCCAGGTTTGGCATGGGTCGACCCATATCTGCATGGGTCATAGTAGACATCTTAAAGTGTGAAAGTTTTGGGGTTTTTGTTGTTGTTAAGTAAAGTGTTGTGTAATAGTCTTTGCATTTTGCAGGTATCCCTGTTATCAGACTTTTCAGCATGTCGTGTGTACTGGAATCCTACTACAGTAGGTGACAGCAAGCATGTGGAAAGTATTCTACAGAAAAGTGCTCTACGTATAAGGTACTAGTGCATGCTATAAACCTGTGGTGCCCAACCTTTACACCATATGGGCTGGATCTGCTGAGGGGTTCAATCCATGGTGGGTCCCCAATCCAGCTGCAGAGGGGGAGAGAATGTTGTGCAACTTGACCCTGATCTGTTTGCCCAGGGAAGTGGGGGTGGGCCAATCACAATCCAAACATGGAGGGTAGGGGATAGGGTGGAGCAGCCCTGATCCAGACGTGCGGGGGAAGAGGAGCCAGGGAGCAGCCCTGATCCAGATATAAGGAGGGGTGGGGAGCATCCCAGCATTGCTCCAGGTACACAAGGGGGAGTGTGGAGTCGCCCCCATTCAGATGCACAGGGGTGGGATGGGGTGGGGTGCAGGGTAGTGCAGCCCCAATCTGGATGCACGGGAGGTGGGGGGGGTGGAGGGAGGGCAGGAAGCAGCCCAGCCCCAATTCGGATGTGTGGGGGAGGGGTGGTTCATTTCTGACCTGATCCAGACATGCAAGGTGCAGGTGGGAGGGTAGAATGAGGAGCAGCCCAGCCTGATCTGGCCCTGATCCCACTGCATGGCAATAGCCAGGGCAAGGCTGTATCGGACCATGCAGAGTTTTCAACACCCCCCTGCAAAATTTTCCCATGGGCTGGATGGCTTGGCTCTGCACCCCTGCTGCAAATTGCTGGTGCCCGAGTCATCCAGCTCGTGGGCCAAATGAGTACTGCGGGGCTGTATTGTGCCTGCAGCCTTACCCTGTGCATTAGTTCCAGTCATGGACCACCCCTATGTGCCAGCCTGATATGGCACATGGGGCAATATCATCTGGCCTATGGAGCTCCCAAGAGATGTTGCAGGGCAGCTGCAACACATGGAATAGCACTGGCTGTCATGGTGCTGTTGGTGCGGTCAGCTGCTGTGGCAGTGGCTATTTTTGTGGCACCTGGTGCTGCTGCCCCAGTCGTTCTGCCTCCCCTCAGTTTTGCTACTGGGGCTCCCTATGGGTCTGGAAATTTAGCAGCAAATAATGCTGCCACTGCTCCCCCACCACCAAATTTTCAGACTCATGTGGAACCTCACAGACCAGATGACACTGCTCCAAAGACCAGATTCAGTCCATAGACTGTAGGTTAAAAACCATGGCTGTAAACAGCTTATCTGCTTTATACACACCCTTGCCTATTAGAAGTTTTCCCTAAGAAATCCTTAAGGTATTCTAAACTCACCAAAGTGACTCTCATTTGAATATTGTATATTAAGATGTTGGTTATCTGCATTTCTGGTTATTTTGGCTCAAATAATTTCCTTTGATGAGCCATGGCCATATCCGACCAGATAAGAATTTCCCTGAAGGACAAGCTTTAAGCTGGTGTAACACTAGCATATCGAATGAACACATGTGGTATAGCCCTTGAAATCCTAAAATTTGTCATTTAAGTGAATGATAAGATTTGCAAACAACATCCTTGCCTGACAGTGCATTTCTGATGTGTTTTTATTTAACAAATACTACATTGGTTCTAATTATGCTGTACTTTAACACGTATCTGGACATTGTATTTTTCCCAGGTATCTTTTGTTAGCCCGTCAGGTTCTGGGAAATGTGCCTCCAATAGTATTTGTTAAAGACAAAGCAGCTGCAGCCATGAGAGAGGTAAGACAGAATCACTGATTTGGTGCATAAGTATCACATGTTACAATGGTTTTGGAATGGAAGGTTTGGCATGTACGGTGTTTAAGTGGACTCGAAGTTTAGTCAGTACACCTGGAAAGCAATTCTGTCGTATTGTTCTGGTTATAAGTTGACATGGTAATATAAGTCAGCTTCATGTTTTCACATTGTTTTAGGAAAGCAGCTTTTCCCCACCCACAAATATAAGTAGATAAGCAGATAAAGTCTTTGAGCTGTTATCACCCTTACAAAACCCTTCCAGAGAATCAGATAACTAAGGAAAGGACCTAAAGAGTTAAACGCACTAAAATACTAAAATCCTGCACTGAAAGAGTTCCAGTTTTACATTTTTATTCAGTACACAAGGTTATTACCAGCACAAAATGCAAGATTATCAGGGGCCTGTTTGTAGGTTGACCCTGCATATAAGTCAAGTGTAATTTGTATTGTTCTCTCCTGGGTTACACTTGTTCTTTTTAGGCAGTGGACAACAGTCTCCGGAGCTGTCTTTATTAATGAACCCGTTGACATTACCCACTTCTTTAACTTGTAATTTTTTTTCTCTAAGGATGTTTCTGACTGGTAAGTAGGTTAATCCAATAGAACTAGAATCAGATTGTGATAATGTCAATTTTCCTTTTATTGGGGCTGATATGACCTCTAAAGAAAACTAGTCCTGTAACCTAATGGTAAAGAGAAAGAAGACAGTAATAGGGTGACCAGCTGGCTGAATGCATTGCAGACAACAGAGTAGAGATTATAGCCAGTTGAGTTGTCTTGGGAACCAATTTTGAATACTGTAAAAAAGCCACTGAATCTCTGATGGAAAGAAGCATATATATTAGCTACTGAGGGCATTATCTAGGTAAAGGTAGAAGGGCTTGTCAGAATAGCGGAGTACTTCTAGAATCGTGTCCCCTTGGTATTTGTTGTTGTTTTTAAGGACAATCAAAGAGACAAGTGTTGGTAGTGATTGTGAAATTTCAAGGGCTAGGGACAGAAGTTATGCATAAACTAGCATAAGTGATTGGAAACCAGTTCAAATCTGTAACACAACAGAAGTTCAGCATGCATAAGTCACTTTCAAAATGGTTGAAACTGGTCTAAGATAAACCTGGATGGATGTAATAGCAGACTTAACTGATTTAAGTTAAGTGAGTTGATTGAAATTCTGTCCCAGATCTCCTCCAGATTCAAGTTAACTCACAGTCCTTCAGCATCCCAGGATGCTTTGGCCCTCCCCTGCAAACCTCCCTCCCATGAGCCTTGGCCCAAGCTGTCTGCTCCAGCCGAGCAGGGAGGCATGCTCTAGCGCACCCCTGGCTTCTGGCCTGGGCCACTGCAGGCATGTGACTGCATATCCAGAATCAAAAATGAATGTTTGTTCACTTGCTTATCGGTTCAATCTACACAATTTAGACTAACCTGTGAAGATTGAATTAATTCAGCCTCAGGCGTTTTGACTGTCTGTACTTAGCCTAGGAGTTAGAGAGAGTACTGGTCTGTGGACTCTTATGGGAACTAAGTATCCCAGGTATTGGGCTGGCATTTAAGAATAATACTAAAAACTAATTGAAGTCAGTTTTGTGACCCAATTTAGCGATTCTTAGATATAAAGCTGCTGGCAATGGGCTTAAACAGTTATTACTGCTGTCAGAAGCATGGGAACATCCAGTGTTTAACTAGCAGTGTTTGAAAAAGGAGGATGAGCTTCATTATTTGCTAGGAAATTAACTATTGAATTTTCTCAAGAGTACTTCTAGATCAAGAAAATGTTTTATGCCAGCACACTTCAACCAGAGTGAAAATCTTTCTACTATACCTGTGTCAACAGCAAAAAAAAAAAAAAAAAGTAGAACTAGAAACTAAAATGTAGGCATGTGGTAGCTAATCCTTTTAGGATTTTTAGTCCTTTATCCTGACCTGAAAGAAACAGTAATCTCTGCATTAATTATACCATTTGGCATAAAGATTCCAAGCAGGGAAGGCACTTGCAATATGTCCAAAGGCTGATAAATTAGAAATAGAAAAGATCTGTTAGATTGCCCACTTAACCCTGCTGCCAAGGAAGGACTCTGCTCCACATTGCATTTTAGGGTACTTACTGAGAGGCCTCGGTAAATTAAGTGGATGATTACTTGGAATAGAACATAGAATATTTTACAAGAGATCCTTTTCAGAAGCCTAGAGGGAGGTAAGTAGAACATTCGTACATGTAAAGCAGAGCTCTCCATCCAGGAAGAGCACACACCAGCTGCTGAAACTTCCTTAGCCTGACGAAGGGTTTTTGAACCCAAAAGCTTGCTTAATAACTATTCTCCAACTATTTGGGTTGGTCTAATAAAAGATATCAAATTCACCTAAGGAACCTTGTCTGAACTCTCTATTAGGTCTTCTACTGGTTTGTTTCTTTTCTGAATGTGAACAGAAGAGCTTTAATACTGGGACTTTAATTAGGGTTTTATTAACCCATTTTACAGATTGATGAGTTACTGGCAGTTGCTGATTTTGGACCTGAAAAAGAAAATTTGTCTCAAAATGATTTCAGGTGAGGTTTTTTTGTGATTATTTTTTTTAATCAAAATTGTGGAACAAGAGTCAGTTGTCTTCAGCTATCTATATCTAGTTTGAAATGGAAAGAATACTGTTAAAGATACCAGAAATAATTGTGTTGTGTCTGTCTGAAATTTGTATGCATTTATAATCCTATCATGGTATCTGAACTGTAACACTTAAAAATTTAGTACAGTAGAGTTATATAAAAAGGCATAATTAGTGCAGTTTAAAGATTTTCTTATTGGGCAGATAGTCTTTAAAAAGACTCAGCTTGTATTGTATTTAAAGCTAGACAAATTAAATAGACGATTAGAACTAAACACCAGCTATATTATGGGATAGTATTTTATTTCATTTTATTTTATTTTACATGGGATTTGGCACAAAAAACTTCCACTTTCAAGTGATACCAAAATATGGTTAATATTTTTAAGCCTTCCCTCACTCATGCTGCACCTTGGATAAGGATGAACAAAATATTAAAAATCTAATTTATTTCCCATTCTTCATACATTACATTTACTCTTGTATTTTACTCAGTGTGGACATTTATTTTGCTTGTTGATTCTTCTGTACATGCACAAAGGTACAGTTTGTAGGTTGCAAGTTGAGAGGGAAAATTGTATTTAACAGGTCTTGAAGAATCTCATGCAGTTCATTCTTCCTGGATTAATTGCTCCTAATTTGAAACGCTGAATCGCAGAAGTCAGCTCTGCTCTGTTGGTGATCTCAGCATTTATCTGCTTCAGCATTTCTGGAGTCCCAGTCTATGGGTGGTCTTCAGCAAGCAGCATCTATGAACAGTAAGATAGGGACAGAAAAAAATGCTTTTGACTCAGAGTAGAGGATACTTTTGTTTTGGTAGTCTGTTGGCTTTGAATTTCATGGATAGCTCTATAGAAGCACATCGGATATTAGTCATGGCATAGGGACTTCTGTACTTAGTAAATTAATATGTTAAAGAACCTGGCACTCCTGAGCCCACTGGTCTATCCTAGGAATTTATACCATGCTAACTTCCATGATATGAGACCCTAAAAAGTTCAAAAATATGCAAGGCAAGTGTAACAGATCTTCATGGTAGACTCTGGAAACGTACACAAGTATTGCTGAGACTTATCCATAGGGAAATTACCAGTATAGCAGAAGAACTCCATAGTGCCATTTTTATTCCAGAATAAATGTCCATATAGGGAGTTATTCTGATTAACTAGTACCATTCTGGTAATTTTTTCCTATATATAAACAAGCTTCATGGGCATGTCCAGATGAGTGCAGTTGTGCGGTACATGGCACTGCAAACACATTTGTAGCGCCACATACCGCACAGTCTGGTGTTCTCCGCGCTGCAAGGGCTCACTGCCCAAGTGTGAGTTGTACTGTTTTTTTCCCCACGGGATATCCAGGGATAAAAAAAAAAAAAACGCAGAAAAAACCCAACCTGGCACAGTACACACTCGGGCAGCATGCACTGCTGAAAAGTGGAGCTGGGCCACCTGAAGCCATGCTCTGCTGCCAGCCAGGCTCTGCGCAGCAGAATCGCCATGACTGTGGCTTCAGGAGGCCCCCAGGACCCCAGGTAAGGTTGTTGGGGCCAGGCACTGTCTCTCCTACCCCACCCAAGGCAACTTACTCTGTGCCAAAGTGCGCATGGCACAGGCAATCCCCAGGGACAAGTAGTTGTGGCTCAAGGTGCGCCACTGCTAGTTGTCCCTGGGGAACCAAACACCTGCGCACATGTGGACAGACATGTGAGTTTTAGAATGATGCTGTGACGGTGATCAAGTCAGGAATCATTCTTATTTTGTGAGGAATTTTGATTAGAATGGTGGTGAGATGCAGGATGGATACACTTGAACCCAACTAAACACCTGACTGCTTGCTGCAGTGTCCTGGTAAAGCAACCTGATGAATTGTTGTGCCTTAAAAGATTCATGGTCCAGTTCACTAGGTGCAAATTAGATGCATCTTTTGGGGGAATGCCATGGTCATGATAAAGGTTTTTCCTACAGAATACACACCAGTTTTCGGTTTGGGCCCGTGTACTTCAAGCTTTCTGAGTCTGTAGCTCCAATACAGTCTCTTTCCTTGGTCTGTCTGTGATGGTTGCTCTGGGAACAGGCTGTCTCTTTCCTCTTTACAGAAGCACGGTCTCGAAACTGCTGTAGCAGTCCCCAAGTCCATTACTAATGCCATCAGACATTGTTGTTATATAAAAACATCTTTTTCCAGAGATCCACTTTATGAGTACTCTAGTTTATAGTTCACCTTCTCAGGAAGAGGTAGCAGTGGAAGTTAGTGAACCAGGCTTTGGAGGAAGGGTTCCAAAATGAATCACTTTGCAGAGCAGAATACCCAGATCTAAATAATCAAACACCTATGAGCATTTCCATTCCTTGGTTTTCTCTCTCCTCTTGAATATTTGTTGATCCTAGTTCAGAATCACTTAAGGTAAGGCTGTTAAACATGTGACCCATGGGCTGGATCAGACCCATGGAACTGCTCCACCTGGCCTGCCAGGCTACTGGTGGGCTGTAGGTGTTGGGGGCATGGCTGGGTAGAGTGGTCTGCTGCAAAATTTGTGGCCTCTGATCCCTGGTAAACATGGCTTTCAGTGGCAGAAGGGTGAGCAAACCCTGCGCTGACACAATCCTGCTTGGTGGGCAGCCATTTGTCCTATCACTGCCAGCCCTACTTCAGGCCTCTCCTCCTCCCGCTTCCTCCCACTGCTCAGGTATTGATAGTTTTAACAGTAGACCTATTTATGGATGGACATAGATTCATAGATTGTAGAGTCAGAAGGGACCACAAAGGATCATTGTATCCGACCCCCCTGCCCCTGCAGGAAATAGGACCGAAGTCAGATGACCCCAGCCAGGTGACTATCAAGCCTCCTCTTGAAGACCTCCAAGTTACGTGACAGCACCACCTCTCCCGGAAGCCCATTCCAGATTCTGGCCACCCTTACTGTAAAAAATGTCTACCTAATGTCTAACCTAAATCTACTCTCCGCTAGTTTGGACCCATTATTCCTAGTTACTTCCTGGGGTGCTCTGGTAAACAGCTCATCACCAATTCCCTGTTGTCCTCCCTTGATAAACTTATAGGAGGCTACAAGGTCTCCCCTCAGCCGTCTCTTGTGAAGGCTGAAGAAATCCAGATCTCTCAACCTCCCCTCGTAGGGTCTTTCATGGAGGCCACTAATCATGCGAGTGGCCCTCCTCTGGACCCTCTCCAGATTCTCCTTGTTCCTCTTGAAGTGTGGCGCCCAAAACTGGACACAGTACTCCAACTGTGGCCTGATCAATGCCGCATTGGGGGGGAGCATCACCTCCCTCGATCTGTTGTCATGCACCTGCTAATACACGACAATGTGTGATTGGCCTTGTTGATGGCCTCGTTACACTGCTGGCTCATGTTCATCTTGGAGTGAACTATGACTCCAAGATCTCTCTCAGCCTCTGAGCTGCTGAGGGGGTCATCCCCCAACCTATAGGTGTGCTGGGGATTCCTCCGTCCTGGGTGGAGTACCTTGCATTTTTCTTTGTTGAATTGCATCCTATTTGATGCCATTCCCTCATCTCCTTAACACAGGGAACAGGCGTGAGAACACAGTAAAGCAAGATAATAAGCATATATAGGTAGTTCATAAAATCCAACTGAAACTTAACCAATTACACGTAAACAGATTCCTTAGCTTCTTCCAGGGGAATACTTGAACATGCATTTAAATTCTCTTTTCCTTTCCGCAGTGAATCAGAGACTTCAGTGACTACATCGTCCTCTGATACGTCAGCTTCATCTCTCCAGTCAAATCTTTTTGGTGTTGATCATGAAGTCCTGAATAAACAAATAATGGAATACAAAAAAATGAAAAAAGTGAAACATGTAGAAGGCATTGGATGGGCAGAACAGCAGCAGAAGCAGTTGGCTGTAGTGCAAAAACAGATGAGAATGAAAAAGAAGAAAACAAAGGGTTCTTTTCAGAATGATCTTACACCTCAGGAATACTTATTGAACAAGTACAAGACAGACTATTTGGATGATGAAACTGTATCCTTCTCAGAGAATGAATCGGAAGATGAATTATGGGATGGAGGTAAATGAATTTAAGGCAGATGATGACATAAACCAAAACCCATCCACTACAAAACCAACAAAACTGAAGTGAAATTATAAGCCGTACATTTCTCAATAAAAATAGCAGATAAAAAAGTCGGCTAGAATATATGCTGAAGCATTAGCTATGTAACTCCACTTGATTTTCCTCTTCCACCCTCAAAAGGTATGGTATGATAGGGAAGAACTAATGAATACAAAGTGTCACAGTAAAAGAGGTTTTAAAATGCCGTTTTTAATAAATATGACATAAGTTGAACTTTTTTGAACTAACTAAGAACGTTATGGTTGTGCTGAGGGTTGCAAGTAAAGCTCCTTATCCTGCTATCGGAGAATAGACAAAGCAACTTTATTGTGAGCTAAAACATATTGGTTGCCTCCTAGGAAGTTAATTTCCTTTGCCTTAATATGAGTGCAATGATCTGTCAAAGAGAAGGATTTCAAAGGACATGATTATGTTACTTTAGAACCCTAGCAAGCTATTAATCTGCAAATTTGGAATCTGCTTCTTGAAGATTTAAGTACATCTTGGTGTTGTGCTCTTACATTACTAAGACTTCTTTAAACTGTACACATATATATTCACCTTTTGAACTATTTCATTTGAACTGTAAACATTAACAAATTCATGAAGTAAGACATGGTTTCCATGAAGCTTGGAAGGATGTAGGCTTTTTAAGCTTGTCTTTGGAGGAGAGTATAAGTAAGCGAGGCACAGAATGAATGGATGCAGTCTTTTTTTATCTTTCCTCCTGTTCTACATTTAGTACATATGTAGCTCTTGTTTTTTATTATGAGCAGAGTTGGACACTAAACAGATTGCAGTTTGCAGAATTCCTGAAAGCAGCTGATATTTTAATCTTCAATTAGCGAGTAGTTTCTCTAGTAACCCTTCCTCCCTATGGCCTTAGGAAAAACAAAACAAAAAAGAAAGAGGGTGCGGGGGGAAGTGTGCCTTTATGCAATGGCTAACATGGGTTCCTTGGTCCAGATAAACTTGAAGTCTTCCAAGGATTTACCTTAACCACCTAATATATTAAAACCTAGAGCTTTTCTTGACTATTAAGCTTTTAAGACACAAGACACTTGTTTCTAGTGCAGCCATGGCCTCTATGTCTAATTCTTCTCCAAACACATTAAAATCATTTAAGATCTGTGATGGCTTAACTGTCATTCAGCCTCTTCATTAGGGGAAAAATTGTGTTTTAACTTTACTATTCCAACTGTCTTCGTATTTGTATGCTGCCCTCCCCCAAACAGGACTTTGAGGAAAAATCCTAGCAAACACTAGGTTCAGTCACTACGAGCCTTGCAGAGGCCAAAAGACTAGAGTCTATCCAGTGGTTTTGTATTGTTCTCCCTCTCTATCCATTTTGCACCACAAGAGGAAACAAGTCCTGAATGATAAATAAGGGTTTGCTTATTTATTGTCAGTTTACTGACAGCAAATGATTCTCCTCAATTAACTTGATACCCAGTTGGATACATTTGCAGAACCAGCCATCTCCTTTCCCTCTCTAAGATAGATTGTATAAGTTTACTTATTTTACCTTTTCTTCCTACAACACAGTTTTGATGCATTAGCAATCAGATATGAACAAGTAAGGAAGGTCCAGTTACATATTAGACATAACTTGGGATGTGTCTACTATCTGTTCATATATTCTGTGGTAGGTAAGTTTAAACTCTTTCCTAACCGTAGCCACCAGTAAATTACTCTTCTTGCGTTCTTTTATGTGGGTTAAGTTGATCTTGACTTGCCTTTTTCATTTTTTAAGCAACTAAAGAGAAACATCTAAATAGGACAAAGCCTCGTGTTCATATGAGACTTTGAAAGAGTAGGCTAAAGAATATGTAGGTAAATTGAATGTATTTGAATTTGCAGGACCTAATAAAATTCATCCTGCTGTGCTTAAAGAACAATTTGAAGCAATCTCTGAAATGTTAGCTATTATAATTTTCTTAACACAAGGAACATCAGAACTCAGGGAGGATAGGTATGGTCCCAAGAGGATGGGAAATAGACAAACATAATACTTATCTTTAAAAATAGAACCTTTCTAAGTACAAACCATTCAGCCTAGCTTTAATCCTCAGATAGATTTTTTTTTTATTTGTGAATGTTAAAAATCATAGTTATTTGCCTGACTTTGTAGAATTGGAAGAGAATATAGGACCCCATGCATGGTAGATGGGTACACACATAGATTTCATTCACATACACAAGCTTCTAGACCAGGGATTCCCAACATTTATGTGCCCAAGGGCACATTTAAATTTTGAAAGAAAAAGCATTGGGTGCCATTATGAATATTAAAGTATTTAGATCAATAGATATTAAAGTATTTAGATCAATCCGATCAATCCTACACGGACACCTGAATAAACCTCAGGGGGCACGATGGTGCCCGTGGGCACCACTTTGGGAACCGCTGTTCTAGACCATGCAGTTAGTCATGTGGCCTGTGTTTGCCTGGGGCATAGGGGGTTAAGAAATTTCATTATAGGAAAACGTGCAAGACCCTTCATATGGTAACCTCACCAGTACAGATCTGCCAGGTGGCAAGATGTTGTTAGAGAATGGTTTTAGCATGTGGTGCAATTGTTGCGGTGGGGAAGTCAAAGGCATAAAAAGGCTTTGTTGGTTAATGGTATGGGTGAGAGGGGTTCCGTCTGCGCTCAGCCTTGCTTTTGGCCAGTGGTCTTGGGTGGCTGTCTTTGTATTGGCAGCGGCCAATGCAAGTTGGCCCATGATGAAAATCAAAGATTTTCCTTTTTAAAGGAGAAAAAAGCAGGAAACCATGGGTTTCCCTTTGCAGGCTGGCAGAGTTCCAGTCTGCAAGGGGTTGCTTGGGGCTGGGGGGAGTGGGATGCAGGGGGCCCCATATACACGTGCAGTTCCATGCGGCCAAGTTCGTTGATGACACCAAACTTTGGGGCAAAGCATCCACACCTGAAGACAGGAGGGCGATCCAGGCTGACCTGGACAGGCTCAGCAAATGGGCAGATGAGAACCTGATGGTGTTTAACACTGAAAAATGCAAGGTTCTCCACCTTGGGAGGAAAAACCTGCAGTAAAGCAACCAAAATGCGGTCTTGCATCCATAGACGCTTCTCAAGCAAATCCCGGGACGTCATTCTCCCCTTATACTCGGCCTTGGTGAGGCTGCAGCTGGAGTACTGCGTCCAGTTTTGGGCCCGACATTTCAAAAAGGATGTGGAGAAGCTTGAGAGAGTCCAGAGAAGAGCCAGACGCATGATCAGAGGTCAGGAAAACAGAACTTACGACATCAGGCTGAGAGCTATGGGGCTCTTTAGCCTGGAAAAGCACAGGCTCAGGGGTGATCTGATGGCCACCTATAAGTTTTTCAGGGGTGACCACCGGTATCTGGGGGAACGTTTGTTCACCAGAGCGCCCCAAGGGAGGACGAGGTCGAACGGTTATAAACTACTGCAAGACCGTTTCAGGCTGGATATAAGGAAGAATTTCTTTACTGTCCGAGCCCCCAAGGTCTGGAATAGCCTGCCATCAGAGGTGGTTCAAGCACCTACATTGAACACCTTCAAGAGAAAATTGGATGTTTATCTTGCTAGGATCCTATGACCCCAGCTGACTTCCTGCCCCTGGGGCAGGGGGCTGGACTCGATGATCTTCCGAGGTCCCTTTCAGCCCTAATGTCTATGACATCTATGAAATGCATGTGGCAACCAGGCAGTATGATGGAGAGCAGCTCCCTCTAGCTAAGTCTGTGGGGACAGGGGGGCCAAGGCAATGCAGCAGGAGGGCATGTGCTCCCCAAGACTTCTGTACCCACAGTGGGGCACAGGGCTGCAGCTGAGCCGGGCCAGCTCTGGAGGAGCTGCGTTTGTGGCCCAGTGGGTAGGACCCAGCATGGGAGGGAATGCAGAAATCTGGGGGGGGGGCGGCATATGCCCTCTCAGCACGTCACCTTGTCCCCTTCCCCCCGGTCGCTTGTGACCATAACTCCCTTCCCCACATGGTTACTCCCTTCCTTACACAGTGGGGGTCTGGGGGTGGGGGACTGTGGGTTGGGAATGAGGGGCAACAGCATATCAGGGCTGCTCGGTGCCACAAAGTAGCCTGGGAGGACCGGGGAAAAACACAACAAAATCCTTGTCCTGGTGAGCGAAGGGGACGGGGGAGCTCTGATTTTCCGTGATAAAAAAAAACCCAACAAAAATCAAATGCCAAAATATATAGGTGTTTAGAAGTTATTTTATAATAATGTTTGAGGCGCTGGTAGGCTTCAAATAAGCTTTAAAACTGTAAATATATCAATAAAACATTGTGTTCAAGTGATACTGTACAGGTTTCCCTTGATTTGGGTGGGTTCTGTATAGGTGAATTCTCTCTTATGTGATGACCCTTTTTATACCAAAAATTTGTTATATGTGAGGTAAATTCACCCTTATGCAGTCGGTGTGGTGGAAGCCCACAGTCAGCTGCTTTGTGCAGTGCATTGTGGGAGTGACACGCACCAAAATATAGTCTGCTGTGTGGATCCGTGCTCCTCACTCATTCGTTGTCTGTGACGTGTTTCTGTAGTTGCCATCCCCATTACAATAGTACCCTGTGCTTGTGTGTACCATTTGCAATTGGTGAGTACCGAAATTGTGTTGTAAAAGTGGTAGGAATGAGTCTGGGGGTCAGTACAGTCGAGATCTTGGAACATATCCCTATTTGTTACATTGTAAACTGGGTTCCCTTTATGCAAATTTGAGTTATGCGCCATTTTCCAGGAATGCATGTACAATGTAAAGCAAGGGAAACCTGTATATAGAGTGGTATTTCATTTTAATTATGGAAAAACATGAATTTGGGGGTTTTTAATGAGTGAATTTGGGGGGGGGGAGTTTATCAGAGAATTTTGGATTTTTAAACAGAGAAAACCAGGATCTCTGCTTCTAACTAGTCTCACATGATATTCTCCCAAGCAGAACTAAGGAAATATGATTTAGATTAAAATGGTTATAAAATAGCTGCACAAGTAATTAACTTTCAATCGTTTATTATCAACTTGGGAGTGGATCTGAGTGGGCATCTGTCCTGAGCCCATTTCTGTTCATTGTGTTCATTCATTGGATTGCGGAACGGAGAATAGAGTTATAACATTTGGAGATGAAACAAACTGGCAGAGGCTGCTAGTACTTCAGAGGGTAAGATCAGAGTTCAGCATGAGCTTGGTTTTAGACTGTTCCTCCAGCTTAAACCAAAATGGAATTCAACAAAGACAACTTGTAGGCAAATGAGGTGAAAACTAATGTGGGCATGCTTACGCCCTAGGCCCAACTCCCTGAGTCTCGATGTACTTCTAAATTCACTCTCAAGTGGCTAGGTGACCGACTGTACAAGAACAAACCATGCTGCGCTATTTGCGTAGTGAATTACGCTTACTGGAATAGTCAGCTAGATTTCCGATCATACAACCTTAATTTTATTTGAAATACAAGTGGTTTAATGTAAGCAGTTGCAGAGCCATTGCTGTTAATACAGGTTACAGTAATGTATGTTACCATTTTTAATTTTGAATGTAGCTGATGTGAGGGTGTTTGCTAGAAGTTTTTCCCACCTAACATGACACATGAGCCTTGTGAGGGAAGAGAGATTATCAGAGGAGGGCTGGAGAGAAAAAGGGAAGGTCCAACTGACTGGCACAGAATAGCAAAGCCCACCAGACACCATTGTGAAGCAAAACTTCTATGTAACAGCTACCCATGACAGGCCTTTCATAACTATTTCAGTTTGTGTGTGTGTGTGTGTGTGTGTGTGTGCGTGCATTAAATCAGTAAAGTTGGGTCCACAAATGGCTTAGGGAACTCTTGTAGTTTCCCTCAAAGTACCACACAGAGAATCCTTGAATTTAAGGATTACGGTAGACCACAACCTGAATGAATCAATATAAAACTGGTAAAAATGCCAATTCTCATTCTGAGATGTTTAGTAATAGTGTATGAGATGTAAAAGATGGGAGGTAATTTTTCCACTTAATGATGGTACATCATCAGCTGGATTACCTTGTCCAATTTGGAGCACCACACTTCAAGAAAAATGTAAACTGCAAAGAATATGAAGACGAGTAGAAGGGTTAGAAAACTTAACTTATTATGGAGAGCGGAAGGAATTGGGTTTTAGTCTAGAAAAGATGATTAAGAGGAAGGAAATAAGTTTCCCATCTGTAAGAAATATTATATGAGAAGGGCAGTGATAAATTGTTCTCCATATTCATTGGGGTTAGCACTATAAAAATAACTTTAATTTGCAGTCAAGATTATTTAAATTGTTAGGAAAAACTTTTAAGCTTTAAGGCAGAGGGGGTAGGCAACCCCCTGGCACAGGTGCCAGAGCATGGCGTACAAAGGCATATTACTTGCCATGCTCGTCTCGGGGTGGATGGTGGGAAAGGGGCCAGGGCTATGTTGCCACAATGAGGATTGGGCTCCTCATGGCTCCTTCACTGCCCCTGCCCCAGGCATGCCAGCATCTTACAAGTTGAGGTTGGGGTGTTTTTGGTGCTCTGCCCAGAAACACTGCCGATCCCTGCTATAAGGCTAGTTAAGTACTGAAGCAGACCATCTATGAAGGCTGCTGAATCTCTGCTGAAGGATTTTAAGAACAGGTTAGACTACCAGCTGCCAGGAGTGGTCTCTAGATTTATTCACCTTGCCTTTGGGTAGGAGGAAGAGCTAGATGATCTCTTCAAGTCCCCTACACTACTATAATTAGTTTCATAGTAGCTAGGGTCAGGAGGGACCTGAACAGATCATCTAGCCTGACCCCTTGCCACAGGCAGGAATGAATGCTGGGTTCACAAGACCCCAGACAGGTGATCATCCAATCTCCTCTTGAATTTGCCCAAGGTAGGGGCGAGGACCACTTCCCTGGGAAGTTGGTTCCAGATTTTAGCCACCCTAACTGTAAAATATTGCCTTCTGATCTCTAACCTAAACCTATTCTCCATCAGCTCATGACCATTGTTCCTTGTCACCCCAGGTGGTGCTGGGGAGAAAAGGGCTCTGCCTATTTGCTGTTGATCCCCCCTGATGAGCTTGTAGGCAGCCACCAGGTCCCCCCCTCAGCCTCCTCTTGTTGAGGCTGAACAGGTTCGGATCCTTCAGTCTCTCCTCATAGGTCCTGTCCTGCTGCCCGCTCGCCAAGTGGGTGGCCCTCCTCTGAACCCTCTCCAGGCTGGCCACATCCCTTTTGAAGTGCAGCGCCCAGTACTGGACACAGTAC